CCTCTCAGAACTTCCTCTTTCCTCTCGGAACTCTTGTCTCCGACCAGCATCTCCCAATCTCTTCTCTACCCTGGTGGTCACCATGCCCTCAGCATCTATGAGCTGCTTCATTAGGTCCCCATGTGAGGTCACACTGTGGCCTTCAGATTCATCTGTGTTGGGACAGATGTCAAGATTCTTCTGTGTTTGCTTTGTTTTTGGAACTTTGCTCTGTAGACGGACCTGACCTTGAACTTAAGGCAGTTTTCCCGACTCTCCATTCTTAGTGCTGGGCGTCTAGGCCTGTGCTACACTGCCTAGCTAGGATTTCATCATTTTGGTAGGAGGGGCTGACTAAAAAGTTTTGTTCAAAAACCTTGCCCTTACTTATCATTCCTGAGAGTAACTTACCTTTGTCAAAGCAGCCTTTCAAAGTTTATGTTGATTTACTGAAAATTCTCAGTTTCTTATACTTCCTAACTTTTGACCTTTTCAAAAATGAGTCAGACTTCAATTTCCATTGTAGTTTGTGAAAAGAAATAATTTTAAACATAAATATTTTGAGAAATGTAACCCTGATATATAAAAATTTAATGAACATACCTTAGGTCTTATTCAACTCATTAATGAGGAAAATGGTAAGATGTTACAACTAGTGTAAAGGAAAATTTAACAACCATAATATAAGAAATTCTATGTGAGATATAAGTGTGATAAACCCAAAGACTGTTGTATAGTCTTGCAGATGGGGAACACAGACTCTGCTAACCCAACTGGAGTTCTGCTGAAGGAAACTGAGCCAGGATTTGATCAAATCCAGGAATTGGGAACTGACACCAAACAGGGTGGCCATAAATCCTGTGAGCCCATTGGACTGTGCAGGTCAAAAGAAAAGACTGTTTACTCCAGGATTTCTCAAACCTTACAAGGTGTGTTAGGTTTCAGGAAGTCATTCCCTCTAGCAGACTTGGTTTTTGACATGATGCCTGTGTTGGTCCTCCTTCTGTCAGTAGATGTCTAAGCCTCAGGAAAGAATCCATCCTTTGTCTCCCCTTCCCTTGTCCCCCACCCTTCTCTTCCTAATGCCTTTTAGCCATTCTGCAGTCATTTTGATGCTTGTAAATAAATACATACTCAATAAGAAACATAACTAGTTACAGAACAGAACTACTCATAGGGCAATAAGCAGTTGCTTCTCACCAGGCATAGTTCATTTCCATTTCCAGAGACAAATGTATTTCTCATTACTATTAATTTTAAAACAACAAATAGGGCAAATATTTGGTATTCTTTATCCAAATGATATTAATAGCTCAGGTTAAATCAGAAGTAATTAAAATGTGTATATAGACATGGAGCCTGGTTTAAAAAATGTGTGGTGTTGTGTCTATGTATATGTTTATGTATGGGCTGTCACAGTAGGTGCAGCTAAGTATAAAAATGGCAGTAAGCTAGAATGAACCTCTATAGGCTAACTTTGGAAAGAGGTAAAGTCAGTATGTCAAATAAAAATTTATTTTAGAAACCCATAGAGGCACAGCAAATTAACTAAGAAAAGGGCTCCGAGCTATAATGGGGCTTTACTTTGGAGATTTTGTCCACAAGTGCAATGAACAATTACTTAGTGACTAATTAATTCTAGCATCAAAATATAAAAAGGGACATCAACTATCTGATTCATTTTATGAGCACAAATGACTTTGTTTCAGCAATTTGATTAAAACGTCTTTTAAAATTTATGAACCAGGATCATTAATTAGCAAACAAGTCAGTGCTATATCACAATTATTATTTACTACAAGCGACTAAATTGTTCTCACATTCATAGGTGGCATCTTGAAGGCACAGAAGAGCAGAAACACAGTCCTGATCTTTGATTCCTGTCTTTCCTACTCTTCTGCATTCTGTCCATGCCAGTCTTTGGGCTTCCTCCAGGGTGCATTAGGAATCTCTGTGGTCCCCCACCACTGCCACTACCTTGAACAAGTCACCACCCTCTTTCCTAGCTCCTGTACCCTTCTCCAATTTCTGGCTCTCTGGTCCATTATTTCCATTAATGACCTATTTGCAGCACATAATGAGAATGACCTTTAAAAATTTTTTTTTGCCTAAAACCTTCAGCTTTTTCTTATGTGACTTAGAATAAGAATCTACCCTATTCTAGTTACTTTCTGTCTCTGTGATGAAACATTGAGCAAAACCAGTTTGGGGGCAGAATGGTTTTAGGTTATAGGTCACAGTCCACTGTGAGTTGGCTACTATCTCTGTGTCTTGCTCCCTGGTTTTTTTGTTTTTTGTTTTTGGTTTTTCGAGACAGGGTTTCTCTATTGTTTTGGAGGCTGTCCTGGAACCCGCTCTGTAGACCAGGCTGGCCTCGAACTCTCAGGTCTGCCTGCCTCTGCCTCCCGAGTGCTGGGATTAAAGGTGTGCGCCACCAACGCCCGGCTTCTCCCTAGCTTTATACCCATCTTGTTCCAAGGTTTTCCTTGGTTCTACTCATTTCATGTCAGGCCAGTTTCCTCCTTATGACCCCTGGTTGTGTATTTCTCTGTTCCAGACATCACCTCCCCCAAAAGGCTTTTTTTGGTTCCTCAGTGTCAAATAGTCCATCTCCCATTCAGTCATTCTCCTTCTTCGAGCTAGAATGATCTTGTTTGGTGTTGATTGGTTGTCTTCTATTGTGGAATATGTGGCCCCTGTTTTGTGTGGTCTCCCTAGTGACTCTCACAGCTTCTGAGATACTTAAGTGACCCTAGGATATATATAATAATATAAAAAGTAGCTAAAAATAGGATATTTTGCAGTAGAAATGTATAGTGCTTGCAGTGCTTAGACAATATTAGCTGTAGGAAATTATGCTCAATAATGAGAAAAAGATGCCCATAAGAACTGGCAATGCAGAAACAGCAGTACGCTTAGGAGTCTTTGCATTAATTCTGCCCTTCCTTTGAAAAAGTCTAGCCTTTGCTTTTCTCCATACATTGTTAGGTTATCAGACCCTTCAGAGTTCTGCTTCATGAACCCATGTGTCTGTGTGGGTAAGGCCCTGCCATCCTTTCCCCTCCTCACCTCTTGAAACTTTGCTAATAAAGAGTGGTTTGCATTGTAACAGGAGCTTAGACAGTGTTTGTAAATCACAGGTGCAGAGCAAGGTGCAGAGTGAATGGTGGATTCCTGCTGATCTCTCGGCAGTTTGGACTCTTTAAGGCTGGTCGATTTCATGCTTCCCTTTAGGTTTCCTCAGGATTCTTGGAACTATATATTCTTGTTATTGGATTATCTTTCTATTTTCTCATACATTGTAGACTCTACATGATATTTTTATACATATTAAAATGATTATTCATAGTTTAAAATCCAGCTTGCATTTATGAAGTGCCTCTTAGATGCAATGCACAGAGTCAGACAGAACATAAGGGCAGTGCAAGGCATATTCTAGGTACACATGGGGAAAATTCTCACTTTTGAAGAAATTTGAAGGTTTATTCACTATGATAGATTTGAATTTATAAAAGGGAAAAGATGTTAACACACTGAAATGTAATAAAACATATAGGAAGAAAGCCAAAAAATCTAGAAAATATTTTACCAAGATATTAAGTAAATGTTACTATTCAAAAGGTTTTGCATATATATGTATGTGTGATATGTAATATAATTTTTCTTGAGAGCAAGCGGAATGCAACACTCCTCGCACAACGAATCAGTAATAGGAAATCTTTATGATGAACATAATTTTCCTGGCAATTAAGGAAGCAGACCAATCATTTCCAAAGAGCATATGCTAGGTGGAAAGACCATTCAAAGGGGTGTGTGGTACAAATTCACTGGTAAGAAGTTTCAACCTTTTTATTTCCAAACCAACTTTACTCTAAAAAAAGTAATTTTTTATTTTTTTAGGGAAATATATTTATATAGAAGAATTATATTTGAGACAGGGTCTCATATATTCGAGGCTGGCCTCAAACTAGTTCTATAGCTGAGAATAGCCCCACAACTCTGATCTTCCTGAGTCTACCTCCTAAGTGATGCAGTTGTAGACATTTGCTTCCACACCTGGTTTATTCATGGTTCTATACATTCTGTAGGCTTGGACATGTGGCATGGAGTGTATCCAACCTACAGTATACAGAGGGTTGTTTTTCTGTGCCCTTAAATATTCTATGCCTGTTTATCCTTCTTTCTCCCTGCCCTCGGCAGAGTTAGGTGACTTGCGACTAGCTATGTGCACCAGCACTCTGAGGCTGCCCTCTGGGTTGGTAGTGACTCTATCTAGGCTGTAACATGCTGTTTGGGGTTTTCCCAGCATATGTAAATTACATGCTTATGTTGCCATTTCCTAGTGTTCCAGTTTTAAGCTTTTTGTTTATTTTCCACTGCAGAGAACCGGATCAAGCTTTCTTTTCTCTACTGTCACACCCATGCAAGCACATGCATGCTGCTCTCTTCTTCCCCAAATGATTAAATTGTGATTTGGGTTGATTCAAGATTTGGTATTTTAAACCATAAACATCAGTTACAACTGAGTTACACAGTGTGTTATAATTCTCTATAGAGTTAAAAATTGTTGTGATTTTGATTTTTTTGTTCCTTCTCTGTCATTAGCATCTATTCCACCCTAGAAGGTCACAGCTGCAAGCAACTTTTTTGTCGTTTTTCTTCAGTGAGTTCAGTCATGGACATTCTATTAGTTTTCTTGTGTTGAAAAAGAAAATCTCTTATAGAATCTTCAGAGCCTGGTTAATCTGACTTTGTTCTCTGGATCTGCTAAGGGGGTGATGACACTGTTTCCTCTCTCGGAGACTTGTTACCTGACCATGTAACTATTGTCACACATACAGCTTCTGCCTTAAAAATGACGGTTACCGGATTGGGCCATGGAAAATATGACAAGGTTACCTGTGGTTCTTCTTCATATGTTGTACTTGAGTTAACTTCTATTTAAACACACAGACATGTTCTCTTACTTTTGGCTGTCTTGTGCAGACATGTGAGGAACTGCATTGTATTCTTCTTTGTAGGCTGTCAAACTTCGGGAGGCCTGTAATTGTCCTCCACTCTCTGGACCAGACCCTCGGCTGCTGTTCAAGCTCACTGTGAAGCGTTTTCTTGAGGACTCAGAGAAAGAGGACCTAAATACCACCGTTAGGAAACAGAAAACAGAAGCTCTCCCCATTCAGAAGCAGGAACAGATACCGCTGACATACATAGTTGAGAAAAGAACTACAAGCTGAACTAAAATGTATGAGACTTGGGCTACAAAGAATATAGCCATACTCATCGTTTTTATGCGACTCCTAAAAATGATGTTTCAAATGAACAAAGAGGGATATTCAAGGTCAAGTCATGTATATTACAGATGTCTGAATTTTTCTAGATTCTTATCTTTCATGAAATACTGATGTGTTTTAATCTATTTTAAAATACTTACAATAGGGAAAATGTCATAGAATAAATTTTATATTGTGCATCTCACTGTCATGCATACTTGCTCTAGATTTGGAAGTCAGGCCCCTCGTGGAGGCATACCCTGAGTGTAGTGATCATTATAAAGAACTTCCTGCTCAGCCTAAAGTGAGTAATGAGTCTGGGTGGTTATGAAATGGGTAACTCACAGTCTGAAGGTGATGGTCTGCACTGGAGTGTGGGGATGTGTGGACAAAGGAAGAACTCTCAAGGGAAATACCCCCAAATGGATGTGAGAAGCCATTCCCATTCAGAGGCACAGGAAGTGCTGCCTGAGGTTCAGGTGACAGAGTGAGCTGTAGAGGGGAGGGTGGTCTTCATGCTGGGATAATACAGGGATTTGGAGGAGCCCAGAAGACACCACTGTGTTCTCACTGAAGGCAGTACCCGGAGAGGCAGGAGTTGAGTGCTGTCCTCATACTTCTTGCTGGCTGATGGCCAGGTGCTGTGGAAGGACATGGGTTAAGGTGCTCCAGGAACATCCCTAGAGAAGCCGGAAGTCAGTGACTATGCTGTGAAGGGATGGAAGTAAATTTTAAAACATGAGTTCATTAGGCAGTTTTATTTATGCTCTCAAACTGGTAAAACCTTAGGTTTTATCTTTTAGAGGGATGGTTTTCTTGAAACACATTGTCTTAGGGTTTCTACTACTGTGAAGAGAAACCATAACCATGAAAACCCTCTTTTTTTCTTTTGTTTTTTTGAGACAGGGTATCTCTGTGAAACAGTCCTGGCTATCCTGGAGCTCACTCTGTAGACCAGGCTGGCCTGGAACTCAGAGCCTCCTGCCTCTGCCTCCCAAGTGCTGGGATTTAAAGGCGTGCACCACTACCATTCTTATAACGGAAAACATTTAATTGAGGTGACAGCTTACAGTTCTGAGGTTCTGTTCATTATCATCATGGTGGGACATGGCAGCATTCAGGCAGACATGGTACTGGAGAAGTAGCTGAGAGTCCTACATCTTCCAGGCAACAGGAAATAGTCTGAGTGTCACACTGAGCAAAGCTTGAGCAAAAGAGTCCTCAAATCCTGTCCCTACAGTGACACATTTCCTCCAATAAGGCCGCACCTCCTAATAGTGCCACTCTCTTTGGGGGCTATTTCCTTTCAAACCACCACATGCATTAAACAGATACTTTGCTGGAGAATTAAAAGTGAAAGAAAATTCTTTTTATGGGTAACTGCTATCTAGGAGCTGAGCCCTTAAAAGATTTGTTTTATTTTTACTTAAGCGTGCATTGGGATTATATGCAAATGAATGTGATGCCCGAGGAGGCCAGAGAGAGCATCAGATCCTAGAGCTGGGGTTACAGGTGGTGATGAGCACCTGGCATGTTCTGAGAACTGAGCCTGGGTCCTCTGAAGGAGCAGGAAGTAGTATTAACTACAAAGACATCTCTCTAGCCCTGAGCAGAGCCCTTTTTATTTCAGTTTCTACACAATCATATGAGGTAAGTTTTATTTTCATTTTATGTTTATAAATGGCCTTGGAGAGGCTTAATAATGTGCCCAATGACTTTACCTAGAAAGAACAAAATTATATCTCTGGTTACCAGTTTGTTCGTTTGCACAACTCTCACATACTAAAGACAAAGCTATAAAAGGCAAGGAACAAATTGCATTCTCAATCATCTGTTTGCTTCAATATAGGTGAACATCATACAAGTATAAAATCAGAGAGGTTTACAAGCATAACACCACTGTGTTGTCTGCAGGATGGTTTTCTAAGTTTTCTTATATCCTGTCAAATCTTCATGAAAAATTTGGGGTAAAGGAGAGTGAGAGAGTAGCCCACCCACCCCCAAAGCTTATGAAATCTCACTTGGGATGTATCCTGATGCTAAGACAAAATGTCTAGTTGTCATGAAGACAAGTTTGAGCTTATTTATGTTTTCCTGGTCTTGTTTATCAAGTATTTCTTGATCTACACACAAAACAGCAGTTGTAAGGGGAGTTTCATGGTAGCTGTTATCCATGTGGCCATTCTTTACACTACTGGTGACTGGAGTTTTGTAAGAGGCACCCCATATGTAAAGACATTTGGAGAATGTCATCCACAGGTAAACAGTGAAGCATACCGTTTGGCTTCCCTGGAGAGTTCCTAAGAAAACAGTGTGCTACAGTCCCTGGTCCTTTTTCTTCTGTCCCTCTGGCAAAACTAATTGTATTGTTCAGCCTTCTTAGAAACTGCATACAAGTTGGCACTATGTCGGAAAGAGCATGGATAAATTAAAGACAACATCTTTTAGTAGATATGAAAGTTTTTAAAGATGGAATCTGTAACATGAATAAATGATCCAGAGACTGATATTGGGATTCAAGCTTCAAGCTGAATGTCAAAAATGCAAAGCAACCAACCATTAGCTTTCACCTCTAGCTCAGGCTAAAAGGGCTGATCCACGCACTTAAACTGCTGCCTCCCCGCAGTGTGGCTGGAGAACAAAAATGTCTCTCTGAGACTTTGCTTCTGTCTTATGTACTTCCCTAATGTTGGGATTAAAGGTGTGAGCTATAATTCTCTTTTAGGCTGATTCATTCTTGTGTAGATCTGAGTGGCCTTGGAATCACAGAGATCCATCTATCTCTTTTTTTATTATTCATTTATTTATTTTTGTTATTTTCCAGTTTAACAGATAAGAAACAAGGTTGCTTCACAAGTCAGTTCCAGGTCCCTCTCCCTTTCCCTCCCCTCCTCCCACACCCTCCCATCAAACCCTCCAATATCCCCTCATTTCCACAGGGGGGGGTGAGGCCCTCCATGGGGGTGTCCATAGTCTGTCATTTCATATAGGGCAGGGCCTAGACCCTTCCCCAAGAGTTCAGGGTGAGAGTGCACCTCACATTGTTCTATGGGAGTCCAAAGTCCTAGGATTAAAGGTGTGTACCACCACCTCCTAGCTTCTGACTGCTGGGTGTGTGTCACCACTGCCTGATCTCTGTAGCTTGGGGCTCCCTTTGCTTTTCTGAATCCTCAGGCAAGCTTTAATAAATCATAAATAATATATCACTACAGGGATCAAACAGAGAAACATTGGATTTCACCTTAGGATGTTCTGGATTCTCTTTGGGGTTGATGGTAAGATACATTCACATTCTTGAGTGTTACATGTTTCCCATTGTATAACCTCCTGTTACTGCCTGTGTCTTTCCTGTGACTATAGCATGCCGATGATGGCAGTTAGCTCAGCTGTTGGGATAATGACAACAATAGATCCAAGGTACAAACTTAATCTAAGTGCTTCCATAATCCAGTGTACGTATTTGCCACGATATGCTTAAACCTAGTAGTACTTGGCACATTATAGGCATTCAGTTAATCTTTTATTTCTATATGATCAAATAAATCATTTGTTCAAATATTGTTTTTAAAGGAGAAGGAACTATACTTTGTGAAAATTTTATCTGATACCCTTTAAGTACCTGTGGGTCCCAAGAAAATTTTGAGCCCTCATTTCTTTCTTTGTAAAATGAGTACAGCAAACACTGATGCAGTTATTCAATGAGAGATGCACATAAGGCATTCAGCATAGTCCCAGGCACTGAACATAAGACAGTTCACACCACTTTTATTGATGTTCACTTTGTGCTAAGGGCAGTGCTAAAAGCACTATTGGACTTCACAGCAATCTCACTAGGGTAGATGAATATCACCCCCATCTCCATTGTAGATGGAGAAAACGAAGTTCAGAGGCATAATGAAAACTTGTTTGGAGTAATCTGGCACAAGATAAGGAACAAATTTGTCTAGTAAGAACAGAGAAACTCAAATCCTATCAAGAAAATGTGTTGCCTCACCTAATAAAACTCCCCTAGAAGATACTAGCTTGGGATACAGTTGAATACAGAGCTTAATGATGTCATCAAAACAGCGGCTCATTTTCTACCATTTTCCTAGCTCTGGCTTCACTCTGCTTTCATATATAGATGACTGCCAGTAACTCCCAGGGCTACATGCCTCATTCATCCAAGTGTGAAGAGTGACTGTCCATATAGCCATTGAAACCCACTTTCAACACTGCTTCCTGAAGCAGTTTCCATGGTAGCAGCTGGGATTATCCTGATCGCCTTGGACCTCATGCATAGCATCCATCATTGTGACTGAGAATGGGTGCAGTTTCCAGCACCCAAGCAGAATCACATCAGAGGGCTGGAGTGGTGCAGGCACAGTGCATCTAGGTTGGCCAGTGAGTAGCAAGCCTAGAATTGAACTTTGCTGTGTTTGGTCTCCCTCAGCAGGCAAAGGAACAAGCTTAATTCTTTAAACAGCTGACCTGAAATGCTTACTCTGAGCAAGGATAATGTAGACTAAGTTGTACATTGCTGTAATGTAAGTTTGCATTTATATGCTTGCTTTACTGTACTAGATTTGTTTTAATCTGAACCATGCCTTCAAAACCAGCCCGAGACTGAAGGATAAATGGCGTTCACTTCTAGGGAAGAAGAAAGCATGGAGGAACTGGGTAATTGTCGGAGTGTGGTCTTCCATTAGACAGCTGAGCTGGGGTTGAACTAAAGGACTGCTGACTTGTAGAGCCAGCCTTCTTTCTGCATTCTTGTGAGGAGCAGGCGTTGCCTCCATTTTTTATCTAGAAGCCCAGACTGGAAGATATTGAGCAGTGTGTGTTCAGCACTGCTTGTCTGTTGATGGCATAGCTGGGAGTACGACCCTCATTTTCTGACTCCAACGTGTGCCTCTCATCCATATACTGTCACTTCTCTTGGTGGATCTCATAAAGCCAGAGAAGCTGGGAAGTATGTTCCCATTCACCCCCACTTTTGGATGGCAGGGCCAACACTTCTCCCTTATTTAGAAGCATTTATTTTACTAGTCTATCGGGGTTGGGAGAGAAAAGGCTCTCCTATGCCTGTTTGTACCTGTGAAGAGTTAAAGTCCTTGCTACTCATCTTCTAATGTGTATTTATTGGAGCCTAGGGAGTTCTTTAGCTGTGGTGAGAAACATCTGTCATTTCTGAGCAGAAATCCTTAGTGTTATATCTGTT